ATGTGAAGAGATAGATTGATAGATAGATAGATGTGAAGAGCTTGGTTGATAAACGGTTTGATAGATAGATAGATAGATAGATAGATAGATAGATAGATAGATAGATCATCATCAAGTTTCTTGTTTACGGGAACGTCTTTGGACATACAAAACCTCAAAATATAATAAAAAATCTTCCTCTAAGTTTGTTTTTTCTTTTTTTTAGTTTGAAACTTTACAATATACTCGATTATAACATCTTCACATTTAAGATCAATTTGAAACACAAGAATCAGTCTAACAGGACGAAAAAATTGATCTTTGATTAATGGTTAGTTTGGTTGATTGAGTGGCTGATTGATTTAAAGACAGGTGTCTAAAGAAATCAATAAGAGAATTGGCGCTTCGCCTGATGATTAGTGAAACGGTTTTTATTCGGGAATTTAGAAGAATATGAATGAATAAAAAAATATGAAAAAATAAAAAAATATGAATGAATAAAAAATATTAAAGAACAAAACAGACGTAAAGAGAGATAGAAATGCGTATAGATAGATAATAATGAATAGATAGATAGATAGATAATAGATAGAAATAAACAGATAGATAAAAATGAGCAAATATAGATAGAGAGAAATGAGCAAAGATAGATAGATAGATAGATATTAAAGAACAAATATAGATAGAAAGATAGATAGAAATGAGTAGATAGATAGATAGATAGATAGATAGATAGATAGATAGATAGATAGATAGAAATAAACACATAGATAAAAATGAGTAAATATAGATAGAGAGAAATGAGCAAAGATATATAGATAGATAGATAGATAGATAGATAGATAGATAGATAGATATAAATAGTTAGATAAAAAATACTCTATCTGCAAATAACCAAATTTGGACTCTAAGGGTTTCACAGACCTAGGTTGTGCGATTTTTATCCGACAAATATATCCAACAAGATACGCGAGGAATCTAATGGTTTTGCCATTGTGAATACAGCGGACACACAATACACAAGCTAAACCAGTGCGTCTTATGCTCGCCTAATTGACTCCACAGACGAATATTTCTTCACACTTGCGCAGTAAAGTACCTTCTGACTGACTGCAAAGTTGCATCAAGGCTGCGTCACCTGTTTTCAGAATATTTATATTGCATATCAAACAGCCTGCATGGAATAATGAACACACGCCATTTCAGATCTTCGGGAAAAAAAAAAATTTTTTAAACAACAGATGGCTAAGAGAGTGATCAGTTTTGTTGAGAAATGCGTTCATTTTAACATAGACTTTTTGTTTCGCCATTGACGACAGCTTGACAAACACTGACCAAGAAATGAAAATAGACATACCAACACATGTTCGTAACGTGTCTCTATGAACGAGTCGGTGAAAGAAGAAAATAAACGCTCAAGTAAATATCTCCACAAATAGAACGTTCAGATGTTTAATTAGTTTACAAAAATAAGAACGAATCGTCGTGGGAAAATGAGAAATAAAAAATGATTGATGGAACTACGTCATTGGCTGTCAGTGAAATTCTTCAGAAATTATAATATCATAAACAAATTATGAATGTCGACTCATGGGAAGTTATCGATGCCTATTGGCGTATCTGTGTGTACTTCCATTTGCCAATTGGGACTAGTTAGGTTTAGGGATTGGAAGAGGTGGAGTTCTCAAGTTCTTTTAGGTAGGAATCTCAGGAGTACTGGGCTAATAAGCGCGACAGATAGATAGATAGATAGATAGATAGATAGATAGATAGATAGATAGATGTGAAGAGGGTGATAGATAGATAGATAGATAGATAGATAGATAGATAGATAGATAGATAGATATGAATCGGTTGATACATAAATATGAAGAGGTTGATAGACAGATAGATGTGAAGAGGTTGAGTGATCGATAGATAGATGTGAAGAGGGTGATAGATAGATAGATAGATAGATAGATAGATAGATAGATAGATAGATAGATAGATGCGAAGAGGGTGATAGATGAGATAGATGATACATAAATGATAGATAGATTGATAGATGAATAGATGTGAAGAGGTTTGATAAATAGATAGATGTGAAGAGAGGGATGATAGATAGATAGATGATAGATAGATAGATAGATAGATAGATAGATAGATATGAAGGGGTTGATAGATAAATATGATGGGTTGATGGACAGATGAATGTGAAGATTGTGATATCGATAGATAGATGTGAAGAGGGTGATAGATAGATAGATAGATAGATAGATAGATAGATAGATAGATAGATAGATGAATAGATGCGAAGATGATAGATAGATGGATAGATAGATGGATGGATAGATGGATGGATGGATAGATAGATAGATAGATGGATAGATAGATGAATGTGAAGAGGGTGATAGATAGATAGATAGATAGATAGATAGATAGATAGATAGATAGATGTGAAGAGGGTGATAGATAGACAGATAGATGTGAAGAGGTTGAGATATCGATAGATAAATAGATGTGAAGAGGTTGATAGATACATAGATTTCCCCTGTAATGTACGTACAATTATTTTCCATCTGTATATTAAAATGAAGTTTGAAATGAAATTGAAACATCTCCATTTCACTATGGAAAGAACTGAAACGTGACTCATTTTCTTAAAGGCAATCTCATCACTGCCCCCCCCATGACTTTTATCGATTCTTATTTTCCACTCTTGCCCCTCATTAAATTCCTTCACTTTTGCGCTATTATCTGACTTGCAAATTGTTTTCGCACAATTTAACCCATTTGAAAAATGTCTCACTTTGTTCACATCTATTTCATTCTGTTTATCCAATAGCGTATCTTACCCTTGTTATATCTATCCATCTCTGTTCGTGTATATCTATACTTGCTTACCATACATATTTATCTATGTCTGTTTGCAACTGTCTCTCGGCTTCAGATCAGATCTATCAATACATTCATGCTTATCTCCTTTGATTCGTTTCTCTCTCTCTTTCCCTCTCTCTGATTTTATCTATATCTCTATCTCTCTTTATCTATCATTCTCTCCCTCCTCTCTCTCTCTCTCTCTCTCTCTCTCTATATATATATATATATATATATATATATATATATATATATATGCATAAGGGACAGACAAAGTAATACGGTTAAGCTTTTTATTTAATTGTTCTTGTGTTCGAACAAGAGCTTTCTTTTCTGGACAGAGGGTGTGTAAGAACTATCCAAATGTTTTATATTTCCGACCGCTTTCGGCTATACCTTTAGCCATTATCAAGAATGATTCGATTTTTCACACATCCTCTAATCCTAAAACGATAAGAAAGCGATCAAAATTGTTAAAACACAAAAACAATTAAAAAAAAGCTTAACAAAAGTAAAAGTCTGTTGTTTTGATGTAACATGCATAAAGGAAGGACTGCTGCCTAAATATACAACTATATATATATATATATATATATATATATATATATATATATATATATATATATACTAAATCTTAAAATTATTTTAATATATTTATTGTTTATACGTTACTTTTATAGATACAAATATTTAAGTAAATGCTCTGTTTATAATAAACAGTATTAACATTTACCAGCATGAATGTTCATACTGGACAAGGAAAAATCGTTTTAGAAAAGAGTATTATGGACAGACTGAAACCAAAATCAAATTGTTTGCACGTAATTCTAGAAATCATCTATGGAAGAAACATGGCAATGCCTTCGAACAAAAGTGAAATATAATGGCGGCAGCATCATGGTTTGGGGACGTTTTCGTATGCAAAAGTTACTGGCGACATATCAGCAACAGATGGTAGAATGAATGCCGCAGCATATCACAATATTTTGGAAGCAAATTTAATGATTTCGGTTGAAAATCTTGAGCTTCCTCCTAAATGGATCTTCCAACAAGATGATTAACCTAAGCATACTGCAAAATCTATGAAGAAATGGCTTGCTGACATTAATATAAATATCCTAAAATGGGCTAGTCAGTCCCAAGATTTAAACCGAATCGAGAATCTGTGGCGTTATTTGAAAATTCAAATCCAATCGAGAGCTCCAACATCCCGGATCTGAAAACTATATGCGAAGATGAATGGAGCAAAATACCAACTAAAATTTGCAAATCATTAGTTGAGAACTACAAGATTGGTTGCTGTAGAAGTTAATAATGGCGATTCTGCAAAGTATTAAAGATTATGTATTCTTTTTTTGGTATTCTTTTTTAACCCATTAAAATGGATAAATGGGGTTTAATTCAATTAAATAATTTTTTCTGTTTTCTCTGCATATTTAGTTATTATGCATCTGGGTTCAGTTAATTATATAAAAAGTATGTTTATTCATAAGTTGGAAATAAAATAAATTATATATATATATATATATATATATATATATAGAGAGAGAGAGAGAGAGGGATAGATAGATAGATAGATAGATAGATAGATAGATAGATAGATAGATAGATAGATAGATAGATCACCCATTCACTTTTTTTTATCTATCTCATTTTAAACTTTAGTATTATAATTTTTTCACACATCACGCATAAACATTTGGTTCCCTGTGAATGATTTCAAAACACACATTAATTTTTCGCTCGGCTGTGACTAATATTTCGTAAGGTATGTAACTTAAAAATTCCATGAAATTCTTATAGATATTCAGCCGTGAATGCACACAGAATTGAAAAATTCAATTTCAAAACTGCCTGACGACAAAACTGAATTTTCACCCCACCTCCTGGGAGAGGCGATAAGCTGTTGCCAGAGACCTATGAAAAAAAATCTCCATAGACACATCATCAATCATGCCTTGTTGAGTATTCACATTGCATACTATTGAATGTATATATAATTGATTTTTTTTTTTTACATTTTTACAAGATAATAATTCTTTGATAGCAAAATATAGTTGATAGCTGTAAAATAATGCATCGTGCATCACGAGAATAAATTTAGTGGAATTTTTATTTTCATTTCTCTTTTTTTTTCTGACAAAAAGAGTTATAATCAAACGATAAAATAAATCATTTATTTACTTCCCAAATTTTCCAGTCGTGACAAGATAAAATATTGGCTCAATTAATCTGAATTGGGTTAACATATTTTTTTTATTCCTATTCCTCACATTGCAGCAGACCAACGTTCAAAATAGGTTGAAAGGAGTGATTCCTTTCAATTTTATATGGGTTTAATTAATATCCGAAATACTTCATACAGACATATATGGCTTAGTGGCTAGGACGGTTACTTACCGTTCATGAGATACGGGTTCGAATCTCACCATTGTCGGTTTGTCAGGGAGGAGACTTAATACAGAGGTAATCCCAGTGTAAGTTACTTTTGAAAGGTGCCTAAACAAATACCACATCTTGACCCAAGATTTGTGAGTGAAATTTCGAACTGAGGTTTCACCCTCTCCCAGAAATTGTAGCTTAAAGTCGGCTAAGTATGGTTTCAGTGTAAACTTCAGGTGGGCTCTGTAGATGCTGAATAAATACAAATGTGCCTGAGCAGGCCTCTGCAACAGGGATTGGTTAACCGTTCTAGCAGACGGTTGTGCTTGGAAAACGAAAGTAGCCGATGATGACTTTGGGATCTCAGAGACTTGGGCTGAGAAACCATATCGAGTACCTCTAGAATCCACTTCAGCTGCCACTAGATTTCCTGATTTCAATGAACCCAGAACTTTTGAACCCAGCCCCTCCAGAAGATTAAACAATGCCTAGTGTCACTATAGAGATTGATGCAGAAAGGGTTAATTTTTGTTGTACTAAGAGCTCTATATAAACCAGTTAAAGGTTAATCCCATGAATTCCTCGTTTTATTTTTCATCGTGAAGATAGTTTTCTTCCTTAATATAGCCCCCACCACAGCTTGAACCAGTGCTGAAATACTACGACCTTCGATCTTCCACTGCTATGAGACCAAGAACAGCGTGGGCAGAGTTGATGTGGATCGAAGCAGCCAGCGACCAACTAGCTTGGACCAGCGTCAGCATTGACCAGCTCAGATTTAGCCCTGTGGTTAAAACTATGTCCTAAGACCCTGAGGATCGGGCCATTAAACGTGGTTACATCAATGGGTGTAGGCGGAGGCAAAAAGCATTATACCTTGTCCTTCTGCTATTTCTCCCAAGCCTTGTTCCGCCATCCATTTATTCAAGCTCATTAAGTATGTCATACGTTGTCTTCCTCTGTCCTTCTTGCACTTTATCTATCCCTTGAGTATTAGATTTTTCTAGCCCTCCTTATCTGAGCTAGAAACCTCAACTGTCTCTTCCTGATGTTAACTATTAGTTTCCTTTTTGTTTCTATTTTCTTCAAAACCTCGCTGTTGCTCACGTGTTCAGTCCATTGTATCCTCAACATCCTTCAATAGAACCACATTTCTATTGCTTCAAGTCTCCTGTTTTCATCATTGAAATTCACTGCCATACAGGAGTACAGATATCCCATAGCAGTTTAGTAATCTTTTCCTTCTTTCTAGAGAAATTTTCTTATTTCTCAGTACTTTGCTTAGCTTTCGGGTTGATTCCTCGGCTATCCCAATACGCCTTCGGGTCGCCATGTCCTTCGTTCCGTCTTCTGTTAAAACATTTCCCAGATATTTAAATTTCTGCACTTGTTTGATCTTGTTACCTCCAATTTGCACTCTGAGATCATCCTTTTGCTAACAACTATGAATTCTGTTTTCATGTAGCTGATGTTTAATCCTTTCTTCTCGCTTTTTTTTAAGCAATTCACCCCAAGCAAGACGGGAGTGCCACTAGCACGCAAGGGGTTACAGAGGATTGATAAGAAGAGTAAAGAGGTGTGTTTGAGGAAAGGATACAGAGAAGGACGGGGAACAAACTCAGGGTTTCAGATGTCAATTGACATTACACTTGAATATTTGAAAATTATAGTCATCCGGGAAGCAAGTAAGGGGAAGGGAGTTGCACAGATGGGAAGTGCAAGAGAAAAAGCTGTTTGAGTAGAAGAGACGGTTACATTTAATCGTTTTGACGGGGAAAGGGTGGGACCGAGATTCCAGCCTGGTAGCTCGCTTAAATTCATGTAAACCCGGGAAGCAGTGAAATAGCACGTCGAAACAGTTGCCGTGAAAATATTTGCAGAAGAGACAGAGGGAAGCCACAACATGTCTGTGGGAAAGCGATTGTAGACTAGATGCCAGATCAGGACCTATCACATTGTACATTCGTCTCTGGATTTTGTAGAGGACTTTTCCTTCACTACTTTCTGTGGGAGTTTTTGTAGTTTTCTTTCCGTGTCTGCTATCAACACTGTGTCATCTGCATACCTTATGTTTGCAAGATTTTGACCGCCAATATGTTACATGAATTTAAATTTAATTTCGTATCGATTTTTGCAACTACACATTTAACATTATTGTTTGTGAATTCACCTTGTACATGATTAATCGGAGTATTTCGAAGGAAACGGGGAAAAGTATTTTTGAGTAAGTAATATCCCGTAGATGTTGACTACAAAACTATATATTAAGATAAGTAAAATCTC